ATCATTTTTATTTTTTTACTGTATAAGAGAATCCTTATTTACCCTTTTTCATTTGCTTCCCAAACATTTTTTTTTAATTTTCATTAGAATCAGTCTAAACTCTTGGCATTTTTATATGCTACATCATGCTACTTTATCTAAAAACCTGATTAGTAGCTGCTGGACATAAACCAAAATCAAACCAATTCCTTCTTGAATAAAATGCATTCATCTTTTTTTTCATTATATCTTGGAATGGTTTAAACTAGCAAATTGAAATAGCACATTTTGTTACCTCTCACTGTCTTATTTTCTAACACCCTTTTATATAGTCTGCTCGAGCTGTGAAGGTCTTAAAAGAATGTATTCGGTTGAAGCCAGATGATCCTACAATTCCACTTCTTGCTGCTAAATTATGTATGGGAACCCTTCATTGGGTAAGTTTTTTTGTTAGTCATCTGAAAAATGAAGAATTAAGTATTTAAGGATATATGTATAAATCCTTCTTCGTTTTTTTGTTCTTTTAAATTCTGCATTGTTCTACTAAATGCATTAGTTTTAGCAAGTATTTTTGCTGGTCAATGTATTATATCTTCAAATCCATGTGTGGCTGAAAAGAATATGCTTGCTAACAAAAGTTTTAAACCTTAAGGCTCCAGACCATTTTGGTACTTGGTTCTATGTTCAGAACTCTATGGCTCAGTTTCAAACATGATTAATATTATGGTTCACACTTCCATGAGGTTTTATAATTATACTTCATAAAGAATTCTAACCTGGCTTATAAATGCTGCATCTTTGGAAGTCCTTTTAGAATGCATATTTGTTCTCAGATATGTGTAATAACAAAGTGAGTAACTTGGCTATGAAAAGAAAACCTGGAATTGATTATTTTAATCTGATTTGTTACCTTAGATTTAAAGGTAACAGTTTAGTCCTTCTGTTTAGTCAGTTGATTATAGTTATCTGTACTGTCATGCCTTGATTGGCGTACCAAAATTAATTATTTCTTTTAATGGGGGATAGGATTATGGTTTTTTTTAAATTTCAAACAAAAAGTCTATCAATTCATTGAAATTTTAAAATATTTGTATTTCTGGAATCCATACCACACTATAGCATCTGATTAAAGGTCTCTGTAGATCCTGGAATGATTTTAATTTTATGTCGTATGGATATTGAAATGTCCTATCACTGCATGCATGATCTTGTAAACCTTGAAAAGATATTTGCAAGGATATATCTGCATTGCAAGATAACTAATTAATACTTGGTGTCATGTCCAGTTTGTTTGATTTGTATAACTGCCCATCTCACGTAAGCATTTCTAGAAATTTTAAAAATAGTTAAAAAGCAATAAACAAATAGAAAGAGACTGAAACAAATATCAATAAAACCACGTTAAAACAAAAAATTATAATCAGCTTTAATCAAGGAAAGTACTACAGCTGGCAGGTGACTCATAAATTTTGTTGTCACTGGAGCTTTACTTTAAATTTAAAGCTGAAATTTAACTAATCATATTAATTAAATCAGAGAACCCTTTCTCAAAAACCTTAATGTGGCTGATATAAAATTATCAAAATAAAATTAATTTTACTCAGAGGGAGAATCAAGAAGGAACAATGCATATGACCATTATATAAATCAGAGACATTGCCCTATATGGGTTAAATAGGTAAAATAAAAATGTGATAGTTCTGTTAGCAATCACTGTATTGTATTTAGTGCATTGAAGAATTAACGTTAGAATGGCTCCATTCTTTCTATGGAGGAAAGCAGTAGCTATGGATTCTGCTTTCATAACCCTGAAGTCACAGTTCAGTCTAATTCCTAACAAGTGTAGAGACCATCAGACGGAAGAACAATGAGTTGAAAGACACAGGAAATCTAGGTTGAGAATGATGGTCTTAGGGCTAGTTGCTGCCAAGCAAATTGGTAACAAGTGCCTGCTGAAACTGGGAGGCATTCAGTCAACAGACGCATCAAAGTTCACATAGAAACTTAATCTACTTCCTACATACAAAATTGGTAACAGGTAGCCTTACGATTCATTCATACTCTTTACTTGGATATCTTGATTCCTATGTGTACTTGGCCAAATTTTTACCCAGACCCTTTAAGAAAGTATTGTCTTTTGCTCTTGACTTTTGGACTGATTTAGTTCATTCTTTTGTGGGGATTGACTTGAGTGTTCTGAGCCATCTGAGTACTTTCTGCCTCTATAAGTCTTCATGATAGGATATTGAGATGATGCCATCCAGAAATATGTAGGAACATTGAAATTGTTCCCACATTACGTGCCATCATCGTGGTCCATTTTGAAATTTTGCATGTATAGGAAAGGAAATGGTATGAAAAGTTGATAACAATGTTTATTTCTATACTCTTTCAAATTTCCGATGCCACCTTTGGCACTTGTGATAGGGTTTGGGGATTTTGATTTTAAATTAGAATAATTTGAATTCTAGTAGATATAGGTCAACCTGATTTAAACAGTGAATTCCAAATTAGTGAATTCTGCCACTTTTCCTATGAAAATCTGTTTTTAGTTAGAAGAAGCAGAAAGATTTGCCCGAATGGTGGTTGATGTGGGGGACAAAACATCAGAATTCAAAGCCAAAGGTTTTTTAGCCCTAGGATTGACCTACAGTCTACAAGCTACAGATGGTAAGTAAATTCCACATATCTATTTATGAGATTATTAAAATTGGTTTTATATTTAAATATCATTAATTAAATGTCTATTTAAGTATCACTAATGAATTATGTCTTTAGCTTCTTTGAGAAGAATGCAAGAAGTCCTGCAGCGAAAGGCTCTTCTAGCGTTTCAAAGGTTAGTGGATGGTAAACTTTTTGCTAAGCTGTAGATAATGAAAACTGTATTTTTGAAAATAATATGTTTATAAATGATTATATAAGATGGATTAATCTCTGGAAGTAGAGAGCATATTGTATTAACATTTGATTCATCAAGTAGAGCGGGCAAATCCAATCTGATTCCAACGGATTACCTCTTATTTCATTAAAGATATTTTTGTTATCAGCTAATAGAAAATAACATTTGCTCAACCTTTGTTTAAAATACAATTCTTGTATCTGAGATTTTTTTCATTTTAAAGAAACATAGCTCTTGAGTAGCATAGTGGAGAATTAGTAGAATATAAGCTTTTATTTTTACTATTCTTAGTAATACTAGCGAGAATAGTAATATTTTAATCTGAACAAAAATGTGATAGTTCTGTTAAAAATTGTATTTCCTGCATTAAAGGTTAAGGTTAAAATCAGGTAAATGTTTTAAGCTATAAACAGTTACAAAGGTATTTCTAATGGAGAATATCACTTATTTGCAAGATGCACAGTACCACATTTTAATCCACATTTAAGAGTTTTAAATATGTTTCTTATGATAATAAGATGAGACGTATTCAGCAAAAGTTTTTCTTTTATGTTTCCTGGATATGCCATATAAAGTTTTAAAAGGTATCTGTAACATGTCAGTCTATTGAAAGTAAATAGTGGGAGAGGGGATAGTTACCTGTAAGATGCAGGCTTGGTCCCACTATTCTTCCCATTTAAACTCAGTATCCATATAGTTAGTCTTCAGGTTACAATGGCAGTTGGGACTGGGATATGGCTAATCTTTGACTTACACCCCCAATTGGGACAGAATTTCTATTGCAAAGAAAAATGGTTTTTAGGTTAGTTGCACCCTTTTGCCACAGTTGTTAAGCAAATACTGTGGTCAATAAGTATATGCACCTTTGGCTTTGGTTGATGAGAAGCAAGCTAGAACTCTTTTAAGTTCAGAAAAGCTTTTGCCCAAATACATACACACCCAAACACACTGCTGATGAAAATCAGTACATATTATTTTTGTTATAAGAGTTCTGAGGGAGAGCTGGTATTAACTCATTGCATTATAGAATTAATTATATAAAACATTATATTAGCAATGTTCTTATAGAATTAATTCTAAAATATAGAATTTCTTATGGACAGTTTTTAACTTTGTCTTTGCCAAAGTAAAGAGGTTAGGAGAAAATCCTTTGAAACTTGAATCATGAATTTGTATCAATACAGACTGTATCATGTATGCCCATTTTCTTATAACTATATCATTGCAGTCATCTGACATAAATGTCAGCAACCATTTATGCAAGTAATATTTAATCTGGATTATTTCTGAGATTTTAAACTGATGATGACATGATACTGGGTAGCTGCCAGATGGTAATCACCCTTCTTTCGTTGGTAGATTTAGTTAGATTTCTGAAACAGTAATCTATAAAAGAAAATCTCTGCATTATGTTATTAATTCTGTGAGCAGTCTGTTTATCAGATTTTTAATTCACTCTGAAAAAATCTGAATAAAATATTAAAACACCCCTTATTACTTAATTATGAAACATAAGAATCCCTCTGACACTGAAGAATGTTAGACATTTATTTATTTGTATCCCACTTTGTATTATTTTTACAAATAACTCAAGGTGGCAAACATATCCAACACATTGTCCTCCTCCCCCTCCCCCCCCTACAATGATAACCCTGTGAGGTGGGTTAGGCTGAGAGGGAGTGACTGGCTCAAAGTCACCCAGCTGGATGTCATGACTAAGGCCATGACATCTTGAAACATCCAAGGAAAATAGGTAAAAATAACAACTGAGAGGGAGGAAGGGTTCATTTGATTAGGAAGTACAACTAACTGGGTATGAGGAACAATAATAAACTACTAGTGTATTAAGCTATTAATAAAGGAAAAAAGGAAGTAACATTGAAAATCCAATCATTTCTCAGCATATCACATTACAACTGAAGACAGTTTTCCAGGATGCAATACAAATGATCTATATAAATGTAATACCAATAAATGTAATATATTTTAATTATTTTCAGGGCACATACTTTGTCTCCAACTGATCATCTGGCAGCCTTTTATTTAGCTTTAGTCAAACGATAAAGAGCTGTCCATCCAAATTTTTAGTTATCTAAATGATCGTAACTAACCGTAATTTATTTTAACAATTAACTTCATGAAAATTATAGGTGACACAAGAAAAAAGGTTTACTTTTAAATATGTAACTAAATATGTAAAGTCTTACATGTTTTATAGTCCCTACAAAATAACTAGTGAAAACATACGGATTGTTCCTTCTTGCTTATTTAGTGTGTTAGGAATAATAACTTACATTGCATATAGGATTCAATTTTCAAGATTTGCATTTTATTTTTATATATTACATAAAATAATTTATTTTCAAGTAAACCTTTTAGAAAGACTAGCAATTCAAAAGTACAGAGTCTTCAGTTCATGCATTTTTTCTTCAACCTTTAACACCCCATCCCAAAATAATGACATTTGGATGTTGCTTAGTCTTTGTTAAGACTATTTCCCTTTTTAATAGTAGTAGTAGTAGTAGTAGTAATAGTAATAGTAATAATAGTAGTGTCGGAAGGGACCTTGGAGGCAGGAAACCGTATACCATTTCAGACAAATGGTTGTCCATAGTACTAGAACATGAGAAGGGCCCATGCCAAATGCAGTTTGAGAAAATAAACAATAGAAAAATTAAAAATTTAAAAATTGCAGAATTTTGAAACCTGAAACATGTAGATTTCATATATTTAAGTAATACTGATCTACCTTGAATTTGCAGGGGTAAGGGAAAGTTTATTTTAGAAAGCTGATTTTAGCAAGGCTACACACATACTTCTTATAGCTAATGGATAACAAAATCATTAACATCTATAAATATGCTCTACGGTCAAATGTTTCCTCTCAAAATTACATTTTTAAATTTGTATTTGGGATTACTTTCCATTCCTTCTTGCTATTGTTATCCACTTGTGTAATAGAATTACTCTAGAAAATATGTGTTGTGATGATAATTCCTTTCAGTTTTTATTTTAACTAGATACCAGAAGCTTTGGGTTACGTTCGTCAGGCTCTGCAGCTTCAAGGTGATGATGCTAATTCTTTACATCTCCTTGCCCTGTTGCTGTCAGCTCAGAAACACTACCATGATGCTCTGAATATCATTGACATGGCCCTGAGTGAATACCCAGAAAATTTCATGTGAGTAATTATTGCTGCTTTTATACATGCTCAACACGCCATTGAACTAATCCAGCTGTGGTGTTGGGAGAGGTTGTACATTTGTTTTTCACTTTTCCAGATGGTATCCTATAATTTTCATACCTCATGAGTAAGAATGTGATACTCTGTTTCCCAGCTTTTTCTTTGTTCTGTATATACCACACACTTGTCTTTCTACACATTACATTTTTATGTTATTTAGACATACTGAAATAAAAGTCTAAATGCAATTGCTTTAAAATAGAAATAAATGCAATTCTATTTCTTCTTGTTCTGCCTTTTCATGCGTTTACTTTAAACAATGTTATTTTCATTGGAAGTACAAAATAATGGACCTGTATAAAAGTATAAAGAAGCTTTAACATTTGTTTTCTCTTAGATTATTGTTTTCAAAAGTCAAATTGGAATTACTCTGCAGGGGCCCTGATGAGGCACTCCTTACTTGTAAACACATGTTGCAGATCTGGAAGTCTTGTTACAATCTTACTAATCCCAGGTAAGAATTATGGATTCAGTGAATTATGGATCATGTGAATTATGGATCATCTGATAAACAAAATAATACATAGTTTTAAAAATTATAAAATGTAGTTTATTATGAGATGTTCAATTGTTCCATTTTTTCAGTATTGATTTTATTTTAACATATGGTACTTAGTATTGCTTTCTTCATTTTAATTGGAAAAATCTGAATCATTGAGCTAGATTAATATTTTAAAATATGTATTTTTGTAAATGTTTGTTTTAAGCATTGTTAGAATATCTATAAAGAATCTTGTGGAAAAATTTAAGAGAAATTCCATCTTTCTCCATCTTACTGGCTAGAAATTACGGGAATTATAATGCCATCCCATTTGGGGCATCCAGTTGGGGAATACTAGATTAAGATACAGCAGATTTATCCACGGGCATAAGTAAATTTACTATGCACTATAACTGCCCATCAAGGTAACAATAATGGAAGCTCGGTGCAATTACAGAGATTACTCAGTACATTAAAGACGATCTTCTTGTAAAGATTGAAAGATTCAGATGGATTCCTGGCTGCTTTGCAGATTTTACTGGCAATTGATAGGCAGCTCGGCTGAGGCTTTCATGAATCTCTGGAATTCAGAGATGAATCAGGCTATAGATTAGAGCTCTACTGTGTGTTCTTGGTTTACTGAGGAACTTCTGGCAATGAAAAGGGAGATTCAGTGACACTTGGAGAATAGAGGTCACTAGTATTAATAGAAGGGACTGCAGTAGCTATGGTTAATGCCTATGTACCTAATTTAGATTCTCCTATTATGTTTTGAGAACATTTTAAATATTAGAATGGATGTATTTATGATAAAAGTGGTAATAGATTTCAATGAACTTAATAGAAATACACCATTATGGAAAAAAAAACCTATTAGTGAAGGAAATCTATATGGAAGAATAGGATTTTATAGATACTAGGAAATGAGTGGAATAAAGAATTAGAGGCTCCTATCTTGTCTAGACAATGGGAAAGTGACTTAATTTCTATAACAAGAGCGTCAATGGACCTTAAACTTCAACTTACACACAAAAGATAATAACTTAGAATTTATTGGAGTCCTCTATATTTAATGTAAAAGATCTGTCTAAGACAGCATTCTGTTGGAGCTGTAATAAGGATAATATTTTGTTAAAACACATGTTTTCACCATGTCCTATACTTAATTTTGGGAGAAAGTAGTGAATTATGACTGTGTG